CAGGATTTTGACCCAGTGACATTGAATGAGCAGCAATCTATTTCCAAGTCGGGATGGTGAGTAGCTTGGAGGGGAACTTGCAGGTGGTGGTGTTCCCATGTATCTGCTGTCCTTGTCCTTCAAGATGCTAATGGTTGTGATTTTCAAAGGTATTTTCTGAGAAGACTTGGTGAATTTCTGCAGTGCATCTTGTGGATGGTACACACTGCTGCTACTGAGCATCGGTGGTGGAGGGAGTGGATGTTTGTGGATGTGGTGCCAATCAAGTGGGCTGCTTTGTGCTGGATGGTATCAAGCTTCTTGAGTGTTGTTGGAGCCGCACCCCCAGGTAAATGGGGAGTGGTCTGTCATACTCCTGACTTGTGCCTCATAGATGGCCTCGTGGTATTATTGCTGGACTGTTAATCCAGAGACCCAGATAACATTCTGGGGACCTGGGTTCGAATCCTGCCATGGCAGATGGTGGAATTTGAACTTAATGAAAATATCTGGAATTGAGAGTTTAATGATGACCATGAATCCATTGTCATTGTCTTTGTCAGAAAAAAAACCCAACTGGTTCACTAATGCCCTTTAGGGAAGGAAACTGCCATCCTTACCTGGTCTGGCCTATATGTGACTCTAGACCCACAACAAATGTGGTTGACTCTGAACTGCCCTCTGGGCAATTAGGGGTGGGCAATAAATGCTGCCTAGCCAGCGACATCCTTATCCCGTGAATGAATAAAGAAAAAAAAAGATGGTGGACAGGATTCAGGGAGTCAGGAGGTGAGTTACTCGCTGCAGGATTCCTAGCCTCTGACCTGCTCTTATACGGCTAGCATAGTTCAGTTCCTGGCCACTGGTAACCCTAGGATTTTGATAGTGGTGGATTCAATGATGATATCACCATTGAATGCTAAAGGGTGATGGTTTGATTCTCTCATGTTGGAGATGGTCAGAAGTCACACGACACCAGGTTATAGTCCAACCGGTTTATTTCAAATCACAAGCTTTTGGAGCACTGCCCCTTCACCTGACAAAGGAGCAGTGCTCTGAAAGCTTGTTATTTTAAATAAACCTGTTGGACTATAACCTGGTGTCGTGTGACTTCTGACTTTTTCCACCCCAGTCCAACACCGGCATCTCCACATTGTTGGATATTGTCACTGTCATTGCCTGGCACTTCGGTGGACAGATGTTATTTGCCACTTGTCAGCCCAAACCTGGATGACTGACCTCCACCAACCATGAGCATCTTCCTGTGTGCCAGGTATGACTCCAAATCAGCAGAGAGTTTTCAGTTTTCCCCTTGATTCCTGTTTCCCCAGTACTCCTTACTGTCACATTCGGTCAAATGCAGACACGGAAAGTGGTCCTCTGACCTCTGGAATTGAGCTCTTTTATCCATGTTTGAACAAGGCTGTAATCAGGTCAGGAGCTGAGTGGCCCTGGTTGAACCCAAACTGGGCGTCACTGAGCAGGTTATTGCTGAGCAGGTGCTGTTTGATAGCACTGTTGATGACGCCTTCCATCACTTTACATCTTAATAGTCGAGAGTAGACTCATGGGGCGGTAATTGGCTGGGTTGGATTTGTCCTGTGTTTTGCAGACAGGACATACCTGGGCAATTTTCCGCATTGTTGGGTAGATGCTAGTGTCGTGATTGTACTGGAAGAGTTTGGTTTGGAGAGCAGCAAGTTCTGGAGCACAAGTCTACTGCTGGAACGTTTTTAGGGCTCATAGCCTTTGCAGTATCAATGCTTCCAACTGTTTACTGATATCATGTGGAGTGAATTGAATTAGCTGAAGACTGGAACAAAACAGAAATTGCTGGAGACAGTCAGCAGGGCTGGCAGCATCTGTTGAGAGAAAAACAGGGCTAACGTTTCAAGTCCAAAGATTCTTCTTCAGAACTGGTCGCATTTAGGAAAACAGTATTTATGCTCCTAACAGGGTGTGGAGTGAGCAGATAGGTGGAGGTGGAGCTCCGAGAGAAAGAGGAAAAATGTTAGGCAGATTGTTGATTGTAAACCAGGGAAGAAGAAAAGCTAGATAGATGATGATGGGGACAATGAGTAGATGGATAGAAAGGCAAAAGAGGAGGGTGAGTGGCATTTTTGAATAAGGAAAACATTACTGCTGTAACTAGTGAAGATGTCTCTGAAAAATCATGTCCAGTGAAAATATATGGCTTGAAATTCAAAATAAGAAAGGAATGATCACCTTGATGGGATTGTGCTATAGATTTCCCCCCCAGTAGTCAGAGGAAAATTGAAGAGCAAATACGTAGAGAGACCTCTGATATATATAAGAATAATAAGGTTGTAATAGGTGATATTAATTTTCCAAACATTGGCTGGAAGTATTATAGTGTTAAATGTTTGGATGGTGAAGAATTTATAAAGTGTTCAAGAAAATTTTCTCTATCAATATGTAAATATTCCTATTTGAAAAGGAGCAAAACTTGACCTTCTCTTGGGAAATAAGGCAGAGCAAGTGACTGAAGTGATAGTAAGTGAACACTTTGCATCTTTTTTTTAATTCATTCATGGGATGAGGGCTTCGCTAGCCAGGCAGCATTTATTGCCACATGTAGGCCAGACCAGGTAAGGATGGCACTCTGCTTCCCTAAAGGACATTAGTGAACCGGATGGGTTTTTCCAACAATCAACAATGGATTCATGGTCATCATTAGACTCTTAATGCCAGGTATTTAGTGAATTCAAATGCCACCATTTGCCATTGCGGGATTCGAACCTGGGTCCCCAGAACATTATCTGGGTCTCTGGATTAAGTCCAGCGATAATAGCACTTGATCATCACCACCTCAGTCTAATAATCATAACTCTATTTGTTTTGAAATAGTTATGGAAAATAACTATTCCATAAAATTGAAGTTTTTAAGTGGAGGAAAGCAAGTTTTAATGGAATGAGACAAAAACTTTCAAAAATTGATTGGAGTAGACTGTTCGCAGGTAAAGGTACAATTGACAAATAGGAGGTTTCAGGAGTGTCACTATGTTCCTGTTAGAGTGAAAGGTAAAGCTGTTGAGATTAAGGAACAATGGATGAATAAAGATATTGAGGTTCTAGTCAAGAATAAAAAAGAATTGTACATTTGCTATAGATAACTAGGTTCAATTCAGTCCCTTGAACAGTATAAAGGGTGTAGAGGCATTCTTAAGAGGATAGGAGAGAGCTTCCGCAAATAAGGTTAAGGATGTTCCAAAGAGATTCTACAAGTACATTAAGAACAAGAGAGCAACTAGAGAGAGAGTAGGACCCCTTAAAGGTCAAAGAGGTTGTCTTTGTTTAGAACCTCAGGAGATGGCAGAGATATTAAATGAGTATTTTGCATCTGTTTTTAGTCACGGAGTCATATGGCACAGAAGCAGACCCTTCAGTCCAACCAGTCCATGCCAATCATAAGATAGTAGGGACTGCCGATGCTGGAGAATCTGAGATATCAAGGTGTAGAGCTGGATGAACACAGCAGGCCAAGCAGCATCAGAGGAGCAGGAAAACTGATGTTTCGGGTCTAGTGAGAGCCAAAAGTTTGATTTTGGGTTGCAGCAGTATCGGCAGGAGTATCAAATTTCCATTTATTTTTGAAAGGCGATTTTTGTTCACATTCAAATACTGAAGGTCCCTCTTCAGGCTTGATTTTTGAATTGTAACAATAACAATACATCAGTTTTCAGCGCAAGGCTGAAGAAATGTTTGAAATCTCTTCTGATCTTGTTTGCATCGTGTTCTCAACTGAAAGATAAAATACTGAAACTACTTGCATCAAGATAAGTACAGGTTTATGAGTCAAAAAGGAAATACTTGGAGTTGTCTTCGTAACTTAGAGGAATGTTCTCTTTTTTTTATTTGTTTGTGTGATCTGAGCATCACTGTCAGCACCAACATTTGTTACCCATCCCAAAATGCCTTTGAGAAGGTGATGGTGAGCAACCTGTGACCTTCTTGCAATCCATGAGGTGTGGGTAATATTGCCAGGAAGGGAGTTCCGGATTTGTGATCGAGTGAAAATGATGGATTGGGGATAGAATTCCCAATCAGATGGTGTGTGTCTTGGAAGGCAATGTACAGGCGATTAATGTTTTCAGGCATCTGCTGTATCTGTCCTTTTGAGCTGGTACAGTCGCAGGTTTGGAAGTTCCTGCCAAAGGAACCTGGATGAGGTTTTGGAAATGCATCTTCTAGATGGGACACGCCACTACCCTGTGCACCAATGATTGAGGAAGTGAATGTTGAAGGTGGTGGATGCGGTGGCAGTAAAGCAGTCTGCATTGTGTCAAGCTTCTTGGGTGTTTTTGGAGCTGAATGCATCCAGGCAAGTGGGAAATATTCCATCACACTCCTGACTTGTGCCTTTGTAGATGGTGGACAGGCTTTGGGGAGTCAGGAGGTGAATTACTTTGTTGCAGGATTCCTGGCCTCTAACCTGTTCCTGTAGCCACAGTTATTTATAAGACAAGTTCAGATAGGTTTCTGATCACTGGTAACCCCAGAATCTTGATGGTGAAGTCAACAAGGATAATAGAGACTGCTCCAGTCCTTTGCAATCAGTGCCCTTGCAGCTGTGAAATGTGACTGCTGTTTCTTTTTAGAAAGACTGATTTTATTGAAAAATGAAATAACAATTCAATTTTTATCACGTTTATCTGTAGTCTTCGATTTTGGGAACCATGCAGCTGCTTTCTCTTATTGGTTCTTTTATGTTAAATAGTGGTTACAATTTTCATTAATTATTTAGCTGTTCACAGTGGTCAATTGGCAGCACTCTTGCCTTTTGAGCCTAGAAAATTGAGTTCAAATCCAACTTCAGCTTATGGCATACTTGACGAATAAAGGTAATTAGTCTCAAGGCCAATGTTAGTGAATTGCTGCTGGCAAGCATTGTTCTTGAAACTACTGTTCCTCCATCTCGTAAGTCTCTATTCTTTTTCTATGTTATATTAAAGGAGGTGACTACAATTAACTGAAAGTTGCTCTTGTAATTTTTTTCATAGAGGAGGAGAAGGTTGCATTTGTTAATTGGATTAACAAAGCATTAGATGGTGATCCTGACTGTAAACATTTAATTCCTATGGATGCCAACAGTGACCGTCTGTTTAGTGCAGTTGGTGATGGAATTCTTCTATGGTAACTTATTTTGTTTCTTCTTTACATTTTTATTCTTATAAAATGATGACCGTGCATATTGAACCTTGAGATGCTGGTGACATTTTATTTGTTCTTTTTAAATCAGGGGAGGCAATGGCCTAGTGGTATTATCACTGGATTGTTAATCCAGAGACCCAGGTAATGTTCTGGGGACTTGGGTTCAAATCCCACCATGGCAGATGGTAGAATTTGAATTAAATATCTGGTATTAAGAGTCTTATAATGACCTTGAACCCGTTGTCAATTGTTGGGAAAAACCCATCTGGTTCACGAATGTCCTTTAGGGAAGGAAACTGCCATCATTACCTGGTCTGGCCTACATGTGACTCCAGACCCATAGCAATGTGGTTGACTCTTTTATGGGCAATAAATGCTGCCTAGCCAATGATGCCCTTATCCTGTGAATGAATAAAAAAAAAATCAATCTTTGCCCAAGGGACCAAGCAGGTGACATGCTCCTAACTGTTCGTTGATGCTATTCTGTAACTAACTGCTAACAGACTGAAACTGATTTTGATTGATATATCCTGCTCAGAGGTGCTTCACTGATCCCACACTAATTAGTCCCTGAAATTCACCCCTAAGCCTCCAATGTTTCAAGTGGGAGGTGTACACACTGTTGTGTCAGTCTGGAGCTGCCCACCATATTGCTAAAGGCCCAAATGGTGGTTTGGTGCCCAGGTCTAACACCGGGCATTATAATCCTTGCATTTGCAAATTATGAGCCTCATATCAGTATGAATTCTCTACCACAAGATTAATTTGCACTGAGGAAGCTGGTTCTGGCAGTTTCGAAGTAATTGCCTATTTGACTTTAACCAAATAGGCAAGATTTTAAAATAAACTTAGCAGAATGTGGAGCCAAGGAGACCTCTTCCATGGACATTGTAAGAGAATGCTGGGAACTTCTCCCTCCTCCCCACCACTCACTGCTGCCTCCCCATGTAGCACCACATCCCAGTCACCAGCACCACTTCCTCATTTTAGTTAACTGCCACCTCCAGAGCTAACCCAGTTGCCTATTTCCCAATCTGATTTGAATTTTCCTGACCACCATAAAACCATAAGATATAGGAGCAGAACTGGACCACTCAGCCCGTTGAGTCTGCTCCACCATTCAATCATGGCTGATGTGTTTCTCAACCCCATTTTTATGCCTTCTCTCTGTAACCCTTGATCCCTTTATCAATCAAGTACCTATCTACTGTCTTAAATACACTCGATGACTTCCACAGATTCATCACCCTCTGGCTGAACAAATTCCTCTTCATCTCAGTTCTAAAAGGGCCATCCCTTCACTCTAAGGCTGTGCTCTCAGGGTCCTAGTCTCCCCCAACAGGGCATAAAATGTTTTCTTCAGCAGCAAGGAAAAACATGCAAGTTATTTGTACAGTGGATAATTTTTATCACTGCAAGTTTTAATCTACTGATGAACTGTCTCGTGTGATATTTTTTCAAGTTGCTCAGCTCTTTCCTGGCAAAATTGACACCTGATGGGAGACTGTTCACAGTGACAAGGGCTGAGTAAGCATCTGTAACTCCATTGTTTCCCAGTAGTTGCTAAAAGAACTGTGGAGAACTGCTCTTGCTTTCCTTCCACCTCCTTTCAAGGCACACCACCTATTACTCTCCACTGATCAGGCTGACGTTAATGAGTTCACTTTGTCATGGTGGGCTTGGTGATATTAGGCTATGTCAATGTTTAATTGCTTTGATTTGCTGATGTACTATGTTGGTGAGGAAGCTGTTTCTGGAAAAACATTTTCAACTTTGGGCAGTGCTACACAATTACTAAACATGAAATATTTCTCCAAACTGATTTACGGCTTAACCTGTTCACATCAAAATTTCTTTCTTTTTCTGTCCAGCAAAATGATTAACTTATCTCAGCCAGACACAATCGATGACCGTGTGATCAACAAGAGGAAATTAACTCCATTCACAATTTCTGTAAGTGCTGTCTTGCCAGCAACAATAGTTTCATCAAGGCTTTAAGACATTTGAAATATTGCCATTTTGTTTATTTCCACTAGAGACACCAACTGATACCTATTTTTGAAATTATCATAGAATCCCTACAGTATGTAAACAGGCCATTTGGCCCAACAAGTCCACACCACCCCTTCAAAGAGCATTCCACCCAGACCCATCCCTCTGCCCTTTCCCTGTAACCCTGCATTTTCCATGTCTAATCTACTTAATTTACACACCTCTGGACACTATGGGCAATTTAGCGTGGCCAATCCACCTAACCTGCACATCTTTGGACCGTAGTAGGAAACCAGAGCACCCGGTGAAAACCCACGCAGACACGGAGAAGGTGCAAACTCCACACAGTCGCCTGAAATTGGAATCGAACCCGGGTCCCCGGTGCTGTGAGGCAGCAGTGCTAACCACTGAGCCACGATGCAACCCTAAATTCTTCTATTGACTTTTTATGAAGGTGCAGTAAACTTTTTATTATCTGGCTCCAATGGGCCCAGGAGTGTACCGGTTGATCAAATGTTCCAGATAATCAAGAGGTCCATATAATCAATGTAAAAACACACTCAGTAATAAAAACATAATGTATGGGGAAACACGTCACTGTTATACCTTATTTGCAGCATAAATCACTTAAAGAATAATGCAACTTTGCCTTAAATAAAACTTACTGGAAGAGAGCCTTCTTGCTTGCACCCTCAACTGACTACACTGACTGCGCGATCATACAATAAAAACTTTGTGGTATTTGAAGTACATAATTTTTGCAGGTTTGTCAAGAGTGCTGGTTCATGGGTTGCCGGTTATAACAGAATTTGCTGTCCTATTAAAGATTTTTAATGTCAGAGTGGTGGACAATAAATATAGAGGGATATCCTTCATGTTTAGTTGACTGCTGTATTTAATAAATTTTATTTCTAGTTCTTGTGACACTATTTTTCTTAAGAAAAATATCCATACAGTTGATATTGTTTCTTGAAGCGTTGTTTTGTTTTTCACATATGTATACACCACCGATTTTAAAAGGAGTGTTTTATGTATACATCATTGTTGTTTCGGAAACAGTGTCTTTGTTTGAATATATCCCAGCACTAATTCATTCTCTCACAGGAGAACCTGAACCTTGCCTTGAATTCTGCTTCTGCCATTGGCTGTACTGTGGTGAACATTGGTGCAGAAGATCTGAAAGAAGGGAGACATCACCTGGTGCTTGGACTTCTCTGGCAGATCATAAAAATTGGCCTCTTTGCTGATATTCAGATTACCAGGAATGAAGGTAAACAAGAAATATAGATGGCTTCTGCAATTTTATCTGGCAGAATACAATATGCCTTAAAAAGAAAATGCATGCCCCTTTTCATTTTAAGGGCATAGCAAGTTGGTATTTTGATTGTGTCTGGAAGTGCCTTGCTGTTTCCCAGAAATTTATTTCTCCATGACAAAGATTGGGTGGTGTCATCATGACTGGAGAGGAGTTGCTATTGTGTGTTCATTTCATTATTGTAAATACTTCCAGCAGTTCCTCGGGTGTGGTGATATCCCTTTTACAAAGTCTGTCTCTGTGATAATGCCTTCAAGATGCTAAGCAATGTTTAATAAGCCGTCACTCATGAAGCTCACAATGCCATTTGTAATTTTGAAGGGTGCTTGGCAACTGTTGTAATAAATGTTGTCCTAAACATTTAAAGCTAAGTTACATCAAAGCAGTCGCCCTTTATGGTTTCTAGCTTGTGATGGCCTTTTCTACGTGAACATTGTATTTGTCATCCTGAGGAATTGTAAGATGCTGATGCTGTTTGTTATTTGTTTCCAGCACTTATTGCTTTGCTGGACGAAGGTGAAGAGTTGGAGGAGCTGCTGAAACTTTCACCTGAAGATCTGCTTTTACGTTGGGTCAATTACCATCTTGAAAATGCAGGGTATCATAAAATCAACAACTTCAGTCAAGATATTAAGGTACTCACATTTTGACAAAATATTTCACCACTAAGATTTTATGCCCATTTTCACACTTAACTGTCAGGCAACTTGAGACTAATTTGGTCTCTGATCTTAGATAGGCTTGGTAGAATTGTTTGCCTTTTTTAAAAATAGGGACAAGGTGCTCATGACAGAAAGGATAATTTGGAGTTGGCACTGAAATTTTCTACTGAAAATTTAGTTTCAGGTTAGTTGAGGCATTTGAAAATTGAATAATACAATGTGTAGAAGAGGATTCCAGGTTTGATCCTCAAACAGGAAAGAATTGAGGATCCACAAGTGGGAATGAGTGGGCTTCCAGTGAAGCAGAGCTACCTCGACCACACTTCCTCACAGCCCACTTACTGTAAGGACTTATTGCATTCTCCTGGTCTGTCTTCCTCTGTCACATCTGTTCTGACAATGTCACATTCCATTCCAGTACTTGCAATATGACTTTCCTTTTCCTAATCTGAGGATTTCCTGCCACTATGGAAAACCAGGCTGTTCACCTTGTTCAGCTGCATTCCCTGTACTCTGCTCTTGCCCTTTTCCCCTCTCTCTCTTAAAACCACAATAGGGCCCCTCTTGCTGTTATCTTCCATTCTATGAACCTCCAGTTCAGTGGATCATCCTGTCCATGATGCCAACAGCAAGCCTATCTTCCCCTCCCCTCATTCCCCTTGCAAAGTCCTAGTCTGTCCATCACTCAACCTCCATCTTTTTCTTTCACATGCCACCTTCCTGTACAGGCACAGGAGATGCAGGAATTCCTTGCTTAAAGTCGCCCTGTTCAACGTCACTTTGCTTTAACACTGTGTTTTATTTTTTTAAAGCCTGTTTTCTTGCATTATGTTTACAGTCCCAGTTTAACGTCGTTGTTTTCTGCCTCCTCCATGGCCTTGCCTCCTAGAGTTCCCTCTACCCTTGTCATAGCGTTGGCTTCCAGGCTCCCCTTTCCCCATAATCAAACCAGCCTCACCTCATCAGTAAAAACAAAATACTGAAAACGTTTTATTATCTGGCACCCCTAGGACCAGGAGTGTGCCGGTTGATTGAATATTCTGTTTGATCAAGAAGGCCACGTAATCAATGTAAAAACACACACTCAGTAATAGAAACATCATGCGGGGGAAACGCATCACTGTTATACTTTATTTACAGCATAAATCGCTTAAATAATAACAAAACCTAGCCATCAAGCCACAACGGTTTATTTAAGGCACAGTGGTTAGCACTGCTGCCTGACTTCATTCAACAGCCAGGTTTGATTCCACCCTTGGTTGACAGTCTGTGTGGAGTTTGCACATTCTCCCAGTTTCTGCGTGGGTTTCCACCGGGTGCTCTGGTTTCCTCCCACAGTCCAAAGATGTGCAGGTTAGGTGGATTGGCCATGCTAACTTGCCCATAGTGTCAGGAGATGTGCAGACTAGGTGAATTAGCCATGGGAAACGCAGGGTTACAGGGTTAGGGTAGGGGGATGGATCTGGGTGGGATGCTCTTTGGAGGGGTGGTGTGGACTCTGTGGGCTGAATGGCCTGTTTCCACACCGAAGGGATTCTGTGATTCTGTGAGAGCCTTCTCACTGACGCCCTCAACTAACTACTTGGACATTGCAGAGATCACGATAATACAGTAAACTTCACAGTATTCGAGATATATTTTTGCTGGTTTATCAAGAGTGCCAGTTCATGAGGTGCTGGTTAAAATTTATTGTGCTGTGAATGCTGGAAATCGGATACAAATAGAGAATGCCGGAGAGCCTGACCAGGCCTGGCAGCACCTGTGGTGAGAGAAACTGAGTTGACGTTTCGAGTCCAGTTTCAGACTCAAAACTTTAACTCTCTTTCTGCTGAGTTTCTCCAGCATTCTCTGTGTTGGCCTCCTTAATGCTGCCTGCACTGACTAACTTCTACCACTAGATGGTGACTTGTCAATCTAAAAATGCAAGTGTCTCTCTCAAAGTACATCATTGCACAGGAAGTACACAGTCTCTTATAGTTACTAAGATGTTTTGTTTTGCAAGCTGTTTCAGCTAGGAATGCACAGTATTTTAGGTTGAACTTAATTTTTCTACTGGACAATAAACGTTCGAAGGAACATCACTCTGGATTTCACACAAATTCCTTTGAGAACCTCTAATTTACTTGGTCATTTTATTTATAGCCGCAATTTTTAGGAATGTAACATTAAGTGGATACTTCCTGTAGATCTATCCTTTTTAGTCCTTTCAGAAAACCCAACATGCTTTGCAAGTGAATCAAATGTTTTGTTACTTTCTACAGAATCTGCTGTATTCACTGCTTAGTGTGGGTTCCTGTGCGCTAGGGAGTCACATACAGATAGTATGATCGCTTTGTAGAACACCTCAGTTTTGAGTGTGCAGCCCAGCAGTCTATTTGACACAAGCACTTTATTGAAGTGAAGTTTGAGATGTAGGAGTGTAGCATATGGTAGATGTGCAGACTAGAACAGACATTTGTATGTGATTGCAAATGTCCCATTTTTTAATAGAAAAATAAGAGAAAAGGCCTGCATTATGATGCACATTTTTGCTTAACCATGTTACAATCTCCATGGACTTGTGTTCTCATGCTTTGTCAGTTTGTGTTTTCCATTATTCTCTGTATTTGTCTGACACACACATTCCTTAAAAATCAGGATAGTCTCTTAATAGTAGGTGTGCATGTTGTTATCATTGGCTGTTCATTGCCAGGGAGTGTCATTCCCGTGTTGCTTGCTGATGCTGTGGATCTACGGGTCAGATAGTTGTTGTGTTTTCTGCCGAAGTGATGCATTAACCTCTTCCTGATCAGCTGCATGCAATTGAACTCTTCACTTGTGAACTGAGGACAAGTGTTATTCAAGACCACATTAGGGATGTTGTAACGGCTGAACTCTGCTTTTAGGCACTTGACAATCGCAGCAATAGTCATTGATGTCAACTGGTTCACTCCCATCAGTCAGAATAGTAGTCATCTGTGGCAAGGTGATTTGCATGTGTGAAGTGGTCTACTCCCAGCTTCTTCCATGGACTGCCTGGGATTTCATGTGTCATCAATGGCCTTCTAGCTTGCTTAGCTGGTCTACTGTTTACGGTTTTGGCACTGGCTGATGTGCTTCTTTGTTCCTCATATTTGGCCAATTGAGCACACCTCTTGCCTTAAGTCAATTGCTTAGTGGCTTGCACGGACACACTTTAGCATTTCTTCTGTCAACTCCTTAGGGAAATTGATTTTCTTTTCTTTGCACAGTCTTGGGCTGTCAATTCATCTCTGCATGTCCAGTATGTTCTTAAAGCAGCAAGAGTGTCCTAAATGCTCTCTGACCATCTTTTTGTCACTAGTTGTTGCAACAGTTGGAGGTTTGCATCTTGTTGAATAGATTGCTTGATTTGAACAAGACACTTGTCTGTTGTATTCAGTTCTGTGCTGGGTTGATGACTTCCAAAGCATGACGTACTGCTGTTTCACATGGAAAATCTGGAAGATTTCCTACTCTGTTGAAGCACCCTCCACTTCCTTCATCGAGAGGGTTGCCCTCGACAGTGTGACTGCAATGTGCCTGTACATCACATCCAGATGCTCTCCTTGCCTGTATTTCACATCCAGATGACATCACTGTAACCAGAGTGACATTAATGAAAGGCACTTTGGAGCATGGTAGCAGCTTGAGGAGAATGCTTTGAAGTGCCTTGTGGTCAGACTTGACTATAACTTTGTCTATAACTTGACTATAACTTTCCAAGTAAGTAAGGAAACACTATGGCTAGGTACTCTTTCTCCATCTGGGTGTACCGTCTTTGTTTGTGTTACTGTGCTGGATGCAAATATAACTGATTTGTCCTGCTGAAACCCCTGTCATGATGGCATCACACTGCAGGGTGACTTCCTCGTTTACATCTTAGTATTTCAGATTGGTTGCTTGTTTAGCACTGGATGCTTGATTTTAGTGAATGCTGCTTTGAGTTCTGTGCACTGATTTCCACTGCACTTCCTTGGCTGTGAGTTAGTGGAATGGTTCACATCGCAGCAACAAATTGGGTCAGAATTTAATCAGTGAACAAATCCAACAAATTATTGCACAGCTTTCACATCTATTGGTTGCTGCATTGCTGTCACAGCTCTTGCCCTTTTGCAGTCCGTACATGGCCTGTATCCTTAAGTTTGGGCATCTTGAATTGTAATTTTTCTTGTTCATTTTTAGGTGAAGCAATCACACTAGATTTTGGTTGTGGTCAGCAATGGCTTAGAATCATAGATTCCCTAAGTGCTGAAAGAGGCCTTTCAGCCCATCAAGTCTGCACAGACCCTCCAAAGAGCATCCCACCCAGATCCAGTTTTTGGATCACCGTGTTGAGCCTCTTCACATAAGTCAGTGAAGGTCACAGTGTTGCATGATGCACCAATGTCTGACATTTTACATCGACTTGACAGTCTACTCCTGTAGTCGACTATTAAACTGTCAGATTAAATTCTGACCCAATTTGTTGCTGCGATGTGAACCATTCCACTAACTCACAGCCAAGGAAGTGCAGTGGAAATCAGGGCACAGAACACAAAGCAGCATTCACTAAAATCAAGCATCTAGTGCTAAACAAGCAACCAATCTGAAATACTAAGATGTAAACGAGGAAGTCACCCTGCATTGTGATGCCATCATGACAGGGGTTTCAGCAGGACAAATCAGTTATATTTGCATCCATGTCTCACCTAGTGATCTGATTGAAATGAACTATATGATGTTTTGTGACTTGTCAGAGTCTTCAGCTGCTGTCTCTCCAGCTGGAGTTGCTGGTTGTGTTTCTTTTTACATGTACGTATTCAGGTTCTTAACAGTGAGAACACTGGTTTCCCCAGGCTGGACATGCCTTTTTTTCTTACACAATATCTTCCATAGCATTTGCATCCTGCACTTTTTGTATTTGTTTTGTCCTGTGTGGCTAATGGATCTGTCAGCATCATGCAAGACCAATTTTTTTTTCTGCTAAATGTGCTATAGCTGTTGATTCACAACCTGACACTTTTTTGCACAGGTCCATTGCTCTTCTGAGTGTAAGTTTGTTTTCTCTCAGTGGGTGTGCATTCACTTTTTTGTATTCCTTATCCCTAATACAATCATATTTCTAATTACATCATCCTTTAATTTTATTAATCCACAGTTTCTACAAGCTGAGTTAATGTTACGTATTGATCAATGATTATTTCTCACTTTTATGACAATACTGTGGCTTTAAGAGGTTATTTTGTCTGTTTTTTTGAAGACCGGTTTTAAGGCAGAGGTGCCGAGCAGTCTACTGGTGCCACTAGAGTGAGAACAGCTTGTGAGCCATGGCTTTTTTTAATTGAACAATAGAAGCAGCCTTAATGGGTGTGGTCATACACTCATTGAACCAGGATTTTTAGTCTTTAGTTTTCAGCGTTTGCTATTGGGGTCTTGAAGTGAAAGCTATTTTTTTTTCCATCTCTTGGTTACAGCCAAAAGCTGGGGGTTCTCTTCCTGCTGCTGGAATTGCATTTGAGACCATCAGTTTTTTGAATTTGCCTTTTGGCAATGTTGTGTTTATAGGATGTTATTGTGTTGGAACAGTTAATTAGAAATAGTTATTATATCTATTATTCTGTTAAGTTTTCAAGTAAAGTTCTTCCAATTCCTTCTTTCTTTTGTTGAATTTTAACTATAGTAGATGAATAAAGTGTGTTTTGCTTTAAATCTGATAGTTTGACCAATTGAGTTGCATCTGGAATGCAACATCTTACACTTAGCTTTAAAATAAGAACAAGTTAGGGTCTAGGCTACCTTCTTAATATATTTTGAGGGGGTTTGGTCTGGTCCATAACATGTTGTTCTTTCATGTTGTTGAATATGTACCATTCGCACATAATGTTTCCTTGGAATGGAAAGTGTGCCTTCAAAGCTTTTACAATTTCTGCCATGTGTTTTGTCCCTGCTCTTCATAGAGATATTTGGAGTGGAATATATTTAGAAACTATCTCTTCCCAATAGTGATAAAAATTATAGCGACTTCTGCTTGTTCTGCAGATCTTGTTCAACAAATCCGTAGCTATTGCATAATTCCCAATCATTGGTCGAAGAATTCCTCATTCTGTCTCTTATATTCCTAGTAATTTGAACAGGAGCTGGTAGAGGGAAAGCTGCAATCATTTTCTCTTGAGCTATGTTTTCTTTGTAGTCTCTGTTTTCTTTCCCCCGTGGCAGTTCATGTAGCTATGCTTTTTATTTCAGCTCCGGAACCTCACCTCAGTACCTCTTCTGACATCGTGCTTGTGTACAATACAGCAATGTGTGCAAAACAAGGACTAAAGATGCGTGCTTCATGGTAGAAGTCACATGACTACAGCAGACTAAGTCAGACTTTTTTTTAAACGATTGCATTTCAATCCAAACAATCAGCATTCAGTCCACTAGCTTTATTTGTGTTTTAATTCGTCACTCTATTCATGCATTGACATTTTCAATGTTCCATTAAACCTAAACATAAACTCAGGAACTCCTCCAATTCCACACTGTGTTAACTCAGGAACTTATTAGCCTTCTGGACTTGGTTCAGCAGTTTCAGATCATTTAACTCATTTCTTCTGACAGCAGCTATTGATGATCGGGCTGCCATTCCAATTTACACCATCTCTGGACACATCTTTTGTTTCTTCATTGCCCATCTTGGTTGTCCTGCATCATTGTCCCTTTTTTCATACAATCACTCCTGACTTGTTCTCTTTCGTTCCTTTACCCCCTTCCTCTTTGCCCAACCTCTGCACTTGCTTGAATGAAAAACCCCATGACCTCTCCGATTCTTCTAGTTCTCTCAAAAGGTGATAGTTTTAAAATGTTAACTCTCTTTCTCTTTCCACAGATGCTGCCAGACCTGCTGAGTTTCTCTATAATTCTGTGTTTGTTTCAGATCTCCAGCATCCGCAGTATTCTGTTTGTGAGATGTGAGATGATTGGCTGTTTTCAGTTGTTGTGTAAACAACACAAAATACTTCCTGCAATACTAAAACACACAAAATAATATTTGAAAGCAATATGGGCTTCATACCTGAGTCTGACTTGAAAATCTGAGATTTTCTTCTGGTGTAACAAATTGTTCTCTCCCTGGTAATTTCAGAGATTGTTTCATCCCTATAATCTCACTTTGTTTTAATATCTTGCTTGTGTCTAGGATTCCAGGGCTTATTTCCATCTACTCAGCCAGATTGCACCCAGTGGAGAAGATGATGAAATGATGGTTGAGATTGAAATGACAGGTTTACACGTAAGTTTGTTTTGTCGCTATTCATTGGGTATTTTTCCTGTTCTTTTCTGTTTCTCCTTTCTAAGAAACTGTTCTGTTGTCTGATTTGCTCTTTTCGTGATCTTACAGGAAAAGGATGATCTCAAAAGGGCAGAGTGCATGCTACGAGAAGCTGATAAATTAGGCTGTAGACAGTTCGTCACACCAGTTGATGTTGTCAGTGGTAATCCCAAACTCAACTTGGCCTTTGTTGCCAATCTGTTCAATAAATATCCAGCACTGCACAAGCCAAACAAGGACTATGACCTCACTTTGTTGGAAGGTAGGAAAATTGTGTTGTGCGAAGTCTGTAGCTGGATCTAGAATGAAAGCCCAGCTTGAAAGGGAACTAAAGATCCCCCCTCATCCCAAGAGGAGGTCACTGTCTTTATTATTGTTTTTATTCTTGTCTGTTTACTGCTGTAATGCCTCATTTTCTTGTTCCATTTGTTTGACCAACTATTGATTATTTACATGAATGATGTATTGGTAAGTTTTACACACAAACTGATTACAAGTTATATCTTTAACCCATAACTTTTGGTATGTAGTACCTGATAGTATGCTGACCAATCATTTCTGTTCTAAGGTACAGTAGCGAGAAAAATAAAGTTACACATTATATTTAAAAATAACATAATTAAACAAGAGAAGAGGCTACTCTGAGTGTAATCTTCTGCCACGTTGTGTTAACAATGTTATTACAGTTACGCAGGTCTTCCTTGAGGCCTTTCCTGCCTGATTGATGCTCTCTCTAACTACAAAACTGAAAACTCTATTAAGAGCTTCCATCTTGCTGAACAGGCTTCAGGACAATCCATATCCACTAACCTGCTCTGAAAACCCTGTTGATGTTTTTACTTCCACCGTAGCAGCTAAGACGATCCACAGTAGTCTAAAATAATCTGTTTAAATTTTAGTGTTAAAGATCTTTTAAAATCAAATTCCAGGATCCAGATCTACATTTGCACCAAAGAAAAATCAGTTCTTCCTTGAGCCTTATCCTATCTATTTACTAAATTTTCTCAAAATCTGTCTTTACGGTATTTCAAATGTTTTTCTCTAAAACCAGACTAACTAACAGTTGTGGGGACATTGCCTATCCCTGTCTTCAATGGCAGAAATAATTCAGACAGACACATGAACAGGCAGGGAATAGAGGGAGACGGACCATGTGCAGGCAGATGCGATCGGTTTAGAATGGCATCGTGATTGACACAAATATGGTAGGCTGATGAGCCGCTTTCTGTGCTGTACTGTTCTATGTAAAATAAGTAATGTTTAAAAAAAATTTTCAAGTTTGCCGTATTTATTTCAGTATGATTTAAGGTGAGTTCTTCAAAAGATGTTGCAGCAGAACCATTTGTTTGTATACCAAAGGGCAGCATATTTGCTAAACTGCCAAATGAAGCTGGAAAAGTGCTTAATTGCTAATAGCTCATTTGGTTTCCTCAGTTGCCTTGTGCCATTTATTTTTCTCCTAACATCTTTCCCGCCCCCTCCCACCCCACTATCTCTCCCATTATGATGGTGATCAAGCTCAATATGTTCCTGGCACTCTGCCATTTTACCCATATGACTATTTTCAGAATTAGCCTAGAGGATTAATATGAGCAAGTTAGTTGACATGATAAGGTGCTAGATAATTAACCAAGACTGCAACAGACAGGTGCTACATAAATGCATTTTGTTTTATGTCCAGCTCCTGATTACAAGTTCCATCTTTGACTGTAACTTTTTAATATGTCATTTGATGTAGCACCTGATAACATGTTGAACAATCACTTTCTGTTTCAAGGTACAATATTAACAAAAATAAACTTAAACATAACGTGTAGCATTGTGTCCAGCTGTTGAACCAGGACATTGTGTTTTTGCAACAGAATATGTGGGAGCCCATTCTTTTCCATATTGTGCTTCTTTTTTAAAGAAAGTGATTCCTTAGTTGCGCACTCTTCTCCAATAACGTCAGTATGTCTTGCAGTCAGAATGTGCTTCACCTTTAACAGCTGCAGTCTGGTTTTTAAATGGCACTGACTTCACACTATTTTGCACCCCCAGCTAAGACCCTGAGCAGAACCTTCAAGTTCATATGGTATCTGCATGACTTTGAACCAGCACATTGTGATTCACAGGCCCATTTTAAAGCATATGAGCACTTTGACCCAACATTATGTAGTTAACTACCATATAGCACTTTAATCAAGACTTCAATTTGTAAGCACTTCGAAAAGCGAAGAGTTCACGTTCTAGTGTAGATGGAGACTAGCATTTGCAGCAACGAATTTTTAAATTAAGTATTAAAATAACCAAATGAACTGTTAGCAATTAAGCACTTTTCCAGCTTCGTCTGGCAATTTAGCAGATGTGCTGCTTGTTTGTTTCAGAGGAATTACATGAATAATATTTGGACAAGTATGCAAGCTGTCAGGTTGCTTCAAGTCTTTTATTTTTGCTTTTCTTTTTGTATTCCTATGTGCTTTGGTGAATGCAGAATTGACCCCTCCCATTGTAGGTACTGTAATTCAAACTGCTACACGTGCTGTCACTCCCCTCTTCCGTCAGTCATGAATTCTTATCCCCCACAGCATCTCCAACTTCTGTGCTCTGTCTTCTCTCTTTTTGCTAAATATTGATTTGCTTTTTGAGCAGGGCAATTTCTGGGGGCTCATTGCTGCCTTCATAGAAACTGCCAGAGTTGTTACACCTGAGAAACAGAGCATGATGGTGCCTATTTTTTAAAAAAAAAATTCTTCATTCATGTGTCAATGTAGGGAAGTAATGAGTGAAAAAGTTACAAAGCAAACATTCAATTCTTTGGTTCTAGTGTTGTATGTACTTCTCAAAGTTAGCAGACCCTAAAGATCGAATAATAGTGATGTAATGTACAGATACTTTATAGTCCAGTGTTCCTCAGCATTGTGGAATCCCAGCTGTTTGTACTGGTGACCGTTTCAAATCAATGGAAAAGAATCATGCTGACTTTGACTATTTGCTTTGAAGATGTACAACAATTTGAGTGTTTTCAATTGTTTTGCTAATGACAAAACCATATGTTATGTGTGTTTTAAAATTTAAGGATGCATTATAGAAAATAATTTATTTTCTGCCCAAGTAAATTTATGGAGCAGGTGTCAAATTATTGCATGTTTATCCAATTCTAAAACTGTTTAACAATACTGATTGTTACTGGCAATGTTTGTCAGCATGAACGTGCCCTTCACACAGTTATTCCTCTCCCAATTGTCACAATATTTTAATAACCGGCTAAGTTCCTGGGACCAACTCTATCTCTGCCAATTTAAAATGGATTATTATGTCCATTCTTCCTTTTGAAGTATGATTAGAAACCCAGTTGTGATTATAATTTAAATATAAATTGTATAAAGTGCTTCATTGTCTTGGATGGAGTCTGCATTGGATTTAAAATAAAACTATAATTTTAGTGATTGCTGTTTTTAAAATGTATTCATTTAAATAATGCATCATTAAAACCTGCTTGTTCCTCTGATTTTCTTAACCAATTTCAGCATGCAGTGCCTTGAAATAATGCTTTGTGTTGCACATGTTTTTAAAAACACATTAATCACAAATAGACAATATATTGTATTAATGTGTCTTTGAAAAAACATTTGAATTTTACAATTTGAAGTATATTATTTGCAAAATGGTTCCCATTTTTGCAAAGTAAAAGAAAGGTTTGCATTTGGCTTGATACATTTGCAAACTTTTTATCTGTAACTATTGGGGAAAAATATACAGGCTTTTGTGGTCCTCATGGTTCGAGGAAACTCCATCTTCACCTGTGTACCTGCGGAATGTTTAGATGTAGGAGAGCGAAAGTAATGAAGTGTATATGTCTACCTGCATATATTTGTTTTTAAACCTTTTAAGAGTATGTTTTCTTAGCTAATTGACAAGCAAGTAAAAGTAACTTGTCAATTTATATAAATGACTATTTTATACTTGAAGATACATGTCCTATATTTCTTCAATGTGGAGAATGTCTTACTAAAGAATTGCACTTAGTCGATTAATTTGAAAATAAAATTAAGAGGTGATATCCCACAAATGCTTCTTCCACCACCTTCCTGCACAGTTGCAAAATCATGGTGTGGTTATATTTGTTGCATGCAACTGCATTTTTCTCATAATGCAGGAAATGCTACAAATTTTCAGCAGGTCAAGTAGTGTCTGTGGAGAGTTCATGTTTCAGGTTGAGTGTCTTTCTAAGGATGCTGTCTGGCTTTTTTTTTTGATTGATTTGTTCACTGGCAATAATTGGAAATCATTTTAAATTCCTCTCTGGCCAGAGGACTGAACGACAGTCAATGTGGTACCATTATTTAAGAAGGGAGCAAGAGATAAACTAGGAAGCGACTGACCAATCTGTCTAAACTCGGTGGTGGGGTGACTATTGGAAGTAATTCTGAGGGACTGCATTTGGAGAGGTCACGATTAATCAGGAACTGTCAGCATGGTTTGTTAACTTGGTCAGACATGACCTCCCTTAACTGAATTTTTTGATGAGGGCAATGCATTCAATGTAATCTATTTAGACTTAAGCAAAACTTGATAATGTTGTCCATGGGAGACTGATGGGGAATGTAAGACTCCATGGGATCCAAGGAAATTTGGTAAATTGAATCCGCAATTGGCTGACTGGCAGGGAGAAAAGGGATGTTTTTGTGACTGGAAGTCTGTTTCCAATAGGTTCCCACAAGGATCAGTGTTTGGGACCCTTGCTGTTTGTGATGGATATAAATGATTTAAATTTGAATGTAGGAGGGTTGATCAGTACGTTTGCAGATTCTAATGGGGTGGTAAATAGTCAGGATAGCCTTAGACTGCAGGAGAATATAGATGAACTAATCAGTGGCAAATAGAATCAGTTTAGATAGGTGTGAGGTGAGGCACATGGGCAGCACAAACAAGGCCAGGAAATACATGATGAACAATAGGACCCTGGGAAGCTTTGAGGATCAGAGGGATCTTGGTGTGCATGTTCACTGATTCCTTAGGATAGTGGAACAGGTATATAAAGTGGTTAAGAAGGCATATCAAGTACTTCCTTCATTAGCTGGGCAGAGAGTTGAAGAGCAGGGAGGTTATGGACTGGAGAGTTTCAATTATGAAGAGACACTGAACAGACAGGGGTTGTTTTCCTTAGAGCAGAGGAGATTGAGGTGTTAAAAAATTGGTGGGTGTAGATAGGGTATACAGGAAAGAAATTATCTCCATGGTGACGATATCAATGACGAGGGCATAGATTTAAGGTAAGCGGCGGAGGTTTAGAGGGGATGTGAGGAATTTCTTTTTCACCCAGAGGGTGGTAGAAATCTGGAACTCTCTGCCAGTAAAAGTGGTAGAGGCAGAAACCCGCATAACATTGAATAAGTATTTAGATGTACACTTGCAATGCCAAGGTATACAAAGCTACGGACTAAGTGCTGGGAAATAGGATTAGAATAGTTAGATGATGGTTTTTGACTGGTGCAGACGTAATAAGTTGAAGGCCTTATTCAGTGCTATAGATCTCTGTTTTTCATATTAGGTTAGATTGGTGGAACTATTTCCACTACTTGGAGAGTCTAAGATTAAGGTTTATTGTTTTTTGTAAAGAATAGTGAAGTTGAGAAACAGCTTTTCATATAAAATTTGGATCTCACTTTGGTTAAAAAAAAACGATTGTTGCTTGACCAGTTGATAACTGTAAATGTGAGATTGATAGTTTAATGTTCGCTGAAAGTATTAAGAGATATGGATTAGACTGGTACATAGAGACAGGTCATGGATTGACCATAATTGTATTGAATAGCACAACAGGCTCAATGAATTAAATGGCTAACTCTTGTTCCCATTTCTTTTGGAATTGATTGTCATGATTTTTCTGTTTAAAGGTGGGATGAAATCAAATGCTTTTATTGTTATTGATGATAGCTAAAAGCAACACTAACATGTCCTGATAATCCAGTAGCCATAAGAAATGGGAACTGAAGTACAGCATACAGCCCAATGAGCCTGCTCAGCCATTTCCAAGATCATGGCTGAACTTCTGTCCATCCATTCCTGGTATTTGAGATAACAAGGTGTAGAGCTGGATGAACACAGCAGGCCAAGCAGCATCATAGGAGCAGGAAGGCTGACGTTTCGGGCCTAGACCCTTCAGCAGAAATTCCTGGTATTTCCCAAGTTCCCATGACAGATGAAAAAAACCTCCTGGTTTAGGAAGATACCCAGTGGTAAATGAAATGTTACAGTTAGTAATACTGCAATCAGTTTCCTGCTGGAAAGGTTTTGGGATCATTCTTATATTGTGTTGTGCTTGCCTACTTAAATGGAACAGCCATTGCTGGTTATAATGTATCTTGATGGGAGATGGCAGCATACTGGTAATGGAACTGGACTTGCTTTCCAAAGATAACAAGGTGTAGAGCTGGATGAACAC